GATTTTCAATCATTGCCTATAACCTCGTATACCTCTATTTTTAAGTCGTGACTGCTTGGAGCTTGTTACAGGATTACATTATTTTAGCGAATCTGCACCGTCACTAGATAAATAAAACAATTTTATAGCAACTAGGCATGCTTTGGGGTACAAGCATAGGGTCAATGTCCTAACTAATATCACCGAAGTAAATGATTCTGTTCTGCCATTAAATATTAGTGCCAATTATAATATTAAATCTCCATCAAGCTAAGAATATTTGTTTTATGAGTACTATATAACTGATAGATATATTTAGATACGATAATAGAATACAATACAAACAATCAAACTCAGTAATACAAAAGTTTCTCGAAACTTTTGGAATCGAACCCGCGACCAGCGGAAGTAAATCAGTGTGCGAAACCGCTAGACCACCTAGGCCGTCAAGATATCATATCTCTGTACCCTGACATTTCCATTTTAGGTACCCAAGCTGCAACTTTGTACAAAGTCAAGATATAAAATTAAAGATTAAGAATTTCTATTTTCTAAGAATATCTAAATTATTCTTAAGTAATAAATTGTAAACGGTTCATTTATAATAAAATTGTCTTCATATTAGCATCACAGTCAAGAAAACATACTTCCACATTTTTAGAGAAAATTACCAGAACTAGATAAAGTTCAAACATTAATAATATTCTACTACCTATATTAATAGGCAATTGTTTATTTAGATATATACGTAGATATTTATGATTATTTATTTGTTATTGCATGTTTTAAGGCCGTTCTGTAATTTCTTTTCCATTGAAGATTCTTTCCTGGTGCAGTGATAGGCCTTCAATGCAATGCTTACCTACCTATCGGCATAACAATAAAATTGCCTATTCGATGAGTAGACCAAATGCAATTATCCTTAGTTTAAAATCATTGGGATGTTGCATGTCAGTCTAGTTTAGAACGTTTTATTAATAAGTCGTGACATTTCTCAACTGTACAGTGACTTCGTTTTAAATTATGAATATTAATATTATTTATATACAAATAATAATTAATGTTTTTAATTTTTCTAATTAAAAATATTAGTTTTACATCTAATTAAAGCTTCTATGTAGTGTATTGGATACGAGTGAGTGAAATCTGTATTCACATGACACAAAAATCGTGTGAAATTCTATGGTTGTTAAAAATTGCAGTGATTCAAAATTATACATGATTATAAGTTAAACCAAAATCTCGTTATATTTATACATATTAAAGCACCAGTCATTCAAATTAATAATATCGATGATGAATGATATATAAAATTTTAACCGCCAAATCAACATATTAAAAAAAATATCCTCAAATTTAGTTATAACAAACGGCTAATAGTAATAAATCACATAATAGGTAAATCCAATAATGTTCCACATAAAATATCGACATCTACTCGTACTTAACAGGTTTTATTCAATTATAAGCATACCTATATATTTGTTTTGATACCTGCTGTTGAATTAACTATTGGGTTAAAATAATAAAATACATGTCATAATATAAAGGAATGTTGTAACACATGTCCAAAAAATGTGTTGCGATGTATCCCTCATCTCCGTAAGATACATAAACTACTCCAAAAGTAACCGCAGAATAAAATACCTACACGATTATTAAATAAAAAAAGTATGGTTTTAATTAAATAATTTTCATAATTCAATGAAAGTAGGGATACAAAAATTAACTTATATAATTATACTATATATTTTTAAATGAAATTAAATGAAATCAAAAATCATTATTTATGTTAGACTTCATAGCCGCTAATGAACGTAAATTTTTTTGTATTATAATTCTTTCTCTACCGTCCATTACACATCATTCAAATCAAGATTATTATATCTCTTGAATATTTAAAGTAAATTTAATTTTTAAATACTTGAGAGAAAAATATGTATAAAAATATTTGGTGTTATACTGGTATACGAGTATAAGAATAAATTCCATGTCATTGACAATTCCTGTTACAGGAAAATCAAAAACCGGTCAAGTGTGTATCGAATACGCGATAAAATGGTCCCATAGTTTTTATAAAATATATCGCTCACCTAAAATAATAGTAGATTAAGTCAAAAGTTTTAAATTTTGGAAAATCGTTATGACTATAAAGTCTAATTGCATTTTTTTAATCCAGTCTTACAGTAGGTGTGCGATGTATGAAGTGTTCATTTGTAAATTTCAATATCTCAGTTGCAGTGTCTATGGAGAGCCACTGTTCTTATTTGACCTTGTGCCACTACACAAGGGCTTAACAGTTCCCGTACATTGCGAACGTCAAATAAACGAGTGTTTGTGCAGATATGAATGTTTCGTAATATTAAATATATTACAAATATAGTGTTTAAAATATGTACATATACAATTGTTATTTCTGGTACTTATATGGGTAGCTCTGCCAATTTATGTCTTTGTGGGGGTCATAACACTTAATTAATTAACGATCTAGCGGGGATTACGTTTATCTTTGCTCTTAAACATATTCAAGATGATAGGGTTATGTTATTATTTATTTTATTATTATTTTATTTATTTATATTATTTTATAGTTTCAGTTTAAAAACGGTGTAACTTAGTTGTAACTAGTTGTAAATAGAAATTATGAATTTAATTCTATTTTAGAATTTTTGCATATGTATAATATAATCCAACTCCAGGTAGGTTCTAACTAATTACAGAAATACCTAATCTCAAAAAATATTTATTTACCTGTCCAAACATCTACAGAGATAATTAACACTCTATAGAGTTGATTAAATAATTTAGTTTTTGCCATTTAACCACGAAACCCTATAAAAACACGGCCTATAACCTTTGAATATACATACAGATTTCGATGTCTATTGGAATTTTGTAGTTTCTATGTAGAACTTGAACGTAGTAATATTTATTAGTTTTTTTATTGCGACTTTTGACACTAAAATCTACAGCCACTGAATAGTAATTATTGTTTTAATATCATACATACATACACTGATCACTGCTGATTTATAAGAGCAACGCCTGTTGTAATTTATTTACAAGTTTTTATGCTAAAATTGCACTCTATTTATTTAGTATCTTCAATCTGTGTCACAAAAGAGGTAATTTTATTTAGTGGTGATGTACGATAACGGATGATACAGCCATCGCTGTGATGAAATAAAAATAAAAGCATACACCGATTTGTCATTTCAACTAGTGTGTGAGGTACCGTTACGAGAGAATACAGGGATTTCGTGCATCGATGACCGGTCAGTATCGATTACAAAATTATCAACGACACTCGTATTTGTGTTCAAAGATTTAAGGATCATTCGGTACCTATATTTTTTTAACTTAGTAATAAAATAAAATATGTATACATATATTAAATAAAAACGAAAAAACATTTTAACAAGACAATTGTAAATGCATATAGTTTTTTTTATAATACTAAAATTACTACAGATACTTTAGTATAAAAGTTTTATATTTATGACATAATATTTTTATACTCAAATATCTTGTTATTATTTATCATTGACATAGTAATCGGCATAATTTTAATTCATTTGTATTAAATCAAATTATTAAGTAAAAATAGATTTTTTATTTTTTTATGTTTTTAACTTAGTTCTAGTTCTATCTTCATATTTTATCAAGTACTGTAATCAAGTAATATGCCATATTATAATTTTAAATATACTGTGTTACGTTAAATAAAAGACTTAAAAAAGTTTTTATTCTGTGTTGTAGCGTGCATAATTTTAATCTTCATCACTCAGTGAGCTCAGGTAAAATTATTATTAAAAAAACTTGTGTAAACTATTTGAAAATGTAGTACTTTATATAAATGGAAGCCGTAAATTGTTTTATATGCTCTCAAGATTTTAGCGCTTTTCATTTCGTTGTAAGAATATTAACTTTCCTAAGCATAAGAAAAAATTTTTTTGACTTTTAGAATGTTATTGACTAACAAACTTCCTGTAAAATATGATCATAGAACAAATGTTAAGAACTGACATCTCAATTACCCCAAATTACTCCAAGACATTACCTAGAGTAATTTGGGGTCATTGATATACAAAATAGTCATTGATTCTATTATGTCAATAGAACTAAATCAAACAGAAATATTTTTTAAACCCAATAACAAACATTCCTTTCGGCCATTATCGATACACTTACTTAAATATGAGTGAGTAGATGTAAAAAATATGTGACTTTGGTTTCTGCGAACAGTGCCGTTCTACGATAATATGTCCCAATTCCCATTGAATTATGTGCAGTTTTATGTCAATATGTTCAATGCTTGTCATTCTGTACTAATAGCGTAGAATTTTAAAATCAGGCATGCCATCAGCACTACATAGATCATTTATCGGAGTCACCGTGTTAGTGAATTCACGTACGCAAGCTGTATTGTTTGATTATTAAAATTAGTAAATGAAGTGATTCTTCGTGTGCAAATACAGGCGTCTTTTAAAGGACATTCGTGGAAAAATTCTGTGTGATAATATAAAGTGAGAATAGTGTTCATAGGTACCTACATTATGGGACCATACGGCCCAGAAAATGGATTCTGCGCTACAATGCTTAGCCAATATGGTAAATTTTGCAAAATTTCTTCTAAACAACGATATGCAATTATTATTGTTACTATGTCTAATATTTTAATAAATGACTTAATTACATACATGTAAATTTTAAGTTAAAATTATTTATTAGAAAATTGCGAGCAAAGTTTTTTAATTATAATAACAATAGTGGACATAGCTTGAATTTTTGTAATATTTATGTGTTATATTAAAGTTCATAAATACATAAAACAAAACTAGTTGATAATTAATAATAAATAAATGTATCGTGACTTAGTTGCTTGAATACCTGTATTTTTACATGACAAGCAAAAAAACGAGGGCAGTATTCGTAAAACTTAACATTAACTGTCGTATGTATTTCCGTGTATCGTATATAATAGAATGTATTTTAATATATATATTAACTGTTGTTGGTAGATCCTCAATTGCTGGATAGATTCAAATTGGAGATGTCGTACGGCATCGAAAGGTTCTTCTTGCTATCCTACTGCTTGGCTTGCTGCTGGCCTGGCTTAGGAGCTAAGTCCGAGTTACGCATTGTCAGACAGTGGCCGGAGCTGGAGTTCGTGTTTCCGAGCGAACAAGCATACAAAGAAGCTATAGAGAAACGATACTATGTGCCTGGAAATTCCGTGCCCATTGATGTCGACGTTCATCATAGACAAGGTGAGTTATATATTTAGTTTAATCTACCAATACGTATTACTAAGTATTTACAAGTGCTTACTATTAGTTTAATAGAGTATAAGTCTTTTGAACCACTTGTACCACTGTCTACATTTTTCCGAAAGACAAAATGTGTTTATCATCTGTTTTTTCTGTCAAAAAGCATTTTGCAATTTCAATATACAAAAGTTATAAAATATAATATGCAGTATACAAATGCAGTTTCAACCTAAAATCTACGGATCGTAATAGGTGGTAATAGCACCTGATACCTACATATTATTGCACAATTGAGAATTCCAATATATTTCAAATGAGAAATGTTAGAACTGCTTTACACAACAAGGTCAGAAAAGTAGAAGGCTGCAGAAGAACCACAGAAATAAATATCGACGTCCAAGATGGTCTAGTGGTTTAGCACACGGTCTTACTTCCGATGGGTTCGATTCCTCGCACGGCACAAACATTTATATTCATGAGTATGATTGTTTGTGTCAGACTGGGGTAATTTCTATGTATAATATGCATGTATTTATTGTATATAACCTAAAAATATCGGCAGCTTTCCGGCCTATACACCTTACAAATACGTATACAGCCAAAACCTAGGTATATAGTAAATGGAGCAATGAACTTGGAAATATTGCCAGAAGACGAAAGATGCAGGTTTTTATAGGAAGGTAAACTAGATTTCGGCATGGCGAATAATAAAATCATCATTATATTACTGTTTACTGTTAGTACACAAGATGGGAAGTGATTATTGTTATCAATAACTAAAAAAACAATGTTTATTCCGTAGTCCACGTAAGCAAGGTGTTTTAGAATATTTAACTGTATAATCTATTTTCTGGACAACGAATAATTAATTTCAAGTTGTCGAAAGTTCTCTGTACTATGGAGTATTTTTTACACCATTCCGTTATCTACAATGGGTTGCCAAATACGCACTTGCATTTTACAATAATTGCTTATATTATTAATTGCTTATATACAGTTCGTGAATTCTAAAGTATATATATTGATATATTAGACTATTTAAAGATATTTTTGTACTTATATGTAGGTACTGAATAATGAAAATGCAATAGCATATTGACTTTAATTGAATTTAAGTACAAGCATTTTTCTATTGACATTCACATGAACTTGTGAAACAGATACGTCATCATCATATACATATGTATATAGCCTGTTGTAAAGTAGTCTTAATTTAGTAGATTACATTCCAATTATTTCGTTTGTTACTTTTTTTTCTATTAAAGTATTCTAATTGCTTTGGAAACTTTGCGTATTAAGTGAAAAACAATCGATAAAGGAAATAGTTTTTACAGCACTTCTAAACAATATAGACCGATAAAGTTTTTACACCTGTTTCTAATACGATGACTCGTTGGGAAATTGTTTTTTTTTTATTTTACAATACAATTGACATTAAGTACAGAGCACCAAGTACCTTATCTATTTACAATTTGACATACTTTGCGTATCTAATCCTTTGTTACAATATGTGCACAGGGAAATAACAATGTCATCAACATTTGTGATCGTATTAATCAAACATTATTTTTAATTGTAGTGTAATATCGCTTTTAATTCTTACCAATTCCTATATAAGAATATAATTAACTATATCTAAATTCAGTACGAAGGCAGTTTTCATTTTTTTAATAATTTTATCAAGTAACACAATATTAGCATGGATCAATTCCCTGCTAAGTTACAGTATATGGTACTCGTTAAAACAATTTCATTATTCTTTTGCCGTTTGCAATACTAGAAAATCTTAGTTTTCTTATTGTGTCGATAAATAAAATTAATAGGCAGTTGGTAATTTACTGAGTACATAAAGTGCAGTTCATCGGATGTAAAAGCATGTTGTTTAGATTATTAACCAGATGATTAGGAAATCAGGTTATTCATCAGATGATATGTACATTTCATATATTAATAACAAAAAAGTGACTATATTCAATTGGAAAAAATCACTATGTTCAATTTCGTAAATCTGGAGTACCTAAATACTAATTTATTGTTAATTGAAGTTCACGGATATTTAATTGACATTTATCTTGATTTTAATTTACTTATTAAAAATTATACTATATTTTAGAAATAAACTATCAATGACAAATAACTTATACAATAAAATATATTTTCAGAAACTATATAAATGTTAGGTTAAACTCGCGCTCTATCATTTTTTTCATCATTGTATAATTTATTATAGTCTAGTTAATGTCAATTTATTATAGTGTTAATTTGTACTAATCAGAATGTATTTGTAATGTAATGCATAAATTTTAATATAATAATATAATATACGCAATTCCTTCATATCTTAATATATGTATACAATTGATTATATATATATTAATCCACCCAACGCCCCTAAATAGTTCGTAAATTTATATAACATTTACTGTGTTTATTTCAATGGGTTCCAACTCGTTTTTCCGTGCAATGCGACAGTGACTTCTGCTGCTAGTACTCGTGTACTATTTAACAACGGCTCTCACGATTTGTATAAAAATGCAATAATATAAATATATAAAATCTAATATCCCTTTAGAAGGATTTATCAACGTTCTATGTCGGTCTAGTCTGCAGATTTAAAACATGCATTGCTTAGACAATAGAAGTTATGTACAAGTCAAGGTATTATTATAAATAGAATTTTATGTTTATATTTTATTGTTAGTTTATTAGTAGCGTTCTCCTTATTATCCTTATATCCTTAGTATGTAATTACATAATTTGTAAAGCGTATTTAGGAGGACTTAAGTACACGATATTTAGAATACAATTATTATTGCTATATACTATATAACTGTATAACAAAGAGCAAATGCAGAGCAAAATACCAAAATGTTTGTAATATCAACAGAATGATTTGACTAACATATAATACTTGAATATATTTTACTAGCTGTATACATTATATATACATATATTTAGTTTAAATAACTTTTCTTATGATTAAAATAAACTTTGCTACTATAATTATATGCAAATACAAAGTAATTGCTATTGATCGAATTATTAAGTACTGCGCATTATTATGATGATACACATTTTAATATCTACCTTATAAAATATGCACATTTGCAAAATGTAATTGTAAATAAATTAAGTGAAATAGTAAGTTAGATTTGTCATATAATCTTAAATATCGTACGCGGAGCACGTTTTTATATATGTACTTAGGGCGTGACACCTATGTCATTGAAGGTCTACAACGTTTATACGATATAATATGTAAAGAATTAAGGAAAATAGCAATTAATAACATGGATAAATAGACAAGTCTTCACGCAGGTAGTCCGTTAATCTTCTTAGGGTAGATAATTAAAATATGACAGAGAATCAACTTAATTAGCTTTTAGTGTATTTATTACGATATCAACTGTGCCATTTTTCAGTATTGCCTATTTTTAAGGGTAATATCTTAAATGAGATATGCTATCTAATGTATGACAAAAAATACAATAATTGACAGATGCTCTGTTTATTCCGAAGGATACCTGCCATACCTTTTACCCCATCATAAAATGCGTAATCTAATTTTCTAATCTGTATATTTAATAACAGGTGATTTAAAATCTCGAATCTTTGTCACAATACCAAGATTTGATGAAGGCAGACCCATGACATTGGGTACCGTAGATGACACTGGGAGAGTATCTGCCTACCCAGATTACTCCTGGCACGACAATCAAGGCCAGAACTGCAATGGATTTACATCCGTATTTAGAGTTGCAGTAAGTATAATCAATTTTGTATAGAAACTATTAGGGAAAAAGTGGAAGCGTGTGAGGGTTATGTCAGTACCTTTTGATGCTCCGAGGGCTTTAATGTTTTCCAGCACGTATCAGGGTTTAGGGTATGTATGTCGAAATTTTAGGACTATATTACTCGTTGAGCACTTAGTTTCATCACTCGTTTTTAACTATATGTTAGGGGCGTCATGCGCGCGTGTCAAGTCATAAGGTTGTGGTCTTTGGAACTATCAAAGTCATGGTAGGGAAAAAGAGAAAAAAGGGGGTATGTAAAAAATGCCTAGATACATTTTAGAACAGAAACCTTTAGAAGATTAAACTATAGGTACTCTTTGGTTATTTCTACTTTATTATATTTGTGTAATTTTCAATGTATTACACATTGTACTCGAGGCTGTTCCGGGTATGCATATAATATTACTGAGACTGAGGTACCAACCTTATAACAGAAATTCATCAAACAATATTAGATATAGCAACAGTAGATATAGCTTCAGCTTAAATAGATCTTATTACTGTTTACTTAACCTCTATAATTTTTACTGTAGTTTTATTTAGAATACAGCGTTATTTTTTCCGCTTTGTGTAATAATAAACGAGACGTAATGAAGGCAATTATTTAGAATTACATACTAAATAATGGTCTTAACCATATCAACGTTCTCTATGTAACTTCCTCTGTGGGTGACTCAAAATAGAAATAGGAATAATCTTTATTCAAATAAAATTAATTTAAGTAGATACTTTTAAATACTTTTATAATTATTTACTTTAATAACAAAATAAATCAGTCATAGTTATCAGAGCAGACCAGTCTCTACAAGCAGCACCCGTTCACAACTTAAATAAGATATCTTTGCTTTAATATTGCTTTGGTATGGATTATCACGAATACATCATTCACTTATTAATATGATACTATTTAATTGTTTTATAGATTGATGAATGCAATCGTTTGTGGGTAATGGATACGGGGAAGATTGGAGACCAAAACCACTGTCCACCTAAAGTTGTAGCTTTTGACCTGGCCACCGACAATGTTGTCTTCACCCATATCGTCAACGCATCAAGTTATATTGGAACGTCACTATTTATTACACCTGTAAGTATTAACAACTTTACTAAAGTACCAAGAGGAGACTACAAGCTCTAGGCCAAGGATCCGACCACGATCGGTCTCAGACAAGAGTACCGAGATTTTCTAGTAGTAGAGGATCTCTAATACTAGAAAATCTTGGTTTTCTTATTGTACTCTCAGAGGGGAAACCTGCCAGGATCTTGAGATTCTTTCTCGAGATCCTGGTAGTTTTCCCCTCTCGAGGGATATTGAAAAAGTACTTGTGTATGATCGCTTGTATTAATTATTTAACCTCTAATATCAATAAGAACATCATTGTTGGAGATTTGTTGATATGCATCAGTAATTGTCACATTTTTGTATATCTTGTGACACCGCCTCATTATAATAGTTAATATGCATCTATTCTGCAATAACAAATTTTTAATTTATATTATCCCAAAATACTTAATGTTATTTATTGCCTGATATAAATATTACTGAGGAGAAATAACAGATAGTTTATATGAGAATTTTTTAAATCTATTGGTACTTACATACGGTAGCAAAAGGTATTTGATAAAATAAAAGGATAATTCACAAATATACTCTCAAGGCTACATTAAATTTGTGGCTACGGTAATAAAGTAAAATATGTTTTATGTGTTTAAAAGGTATTAATACAGGTTATCATGTAAATGTGATGAACATTACTATTTCAATTAACATATGTATTAGTTATATTAACATATTTCATAAATCTATTGTCTGTTCCAATATACCAAAACGACATATACTTTGTCTTTGCTATTATTTAGTGTGGTTCTCAGAAATATTTCTAAAGTGATGTAATAGGCTCACGCACTATATTATTTTTATTTTTATTCTTTCAGGTTGTTGATGTACGAAAACGTGGTTATGACTGCTCTGATACATATGTCTATGTAGCTGATGTATCTGGTTTTGGTCTTTTAATTGTTGATGTCGCCAGAAATAGCTCATGGAGAATATCACATCGTCTTATGTTCCCGTATCCATCACGAGGCACATTCACTATTGACGGTAAGGTTATTTCTTATGTACCATCAAAAGAACTACTTACTGGTATAAATCTGTTCTAATCTTAAAGTGCTGCCAAAACTTCAGATTTTAATCTACCATTCTTTATATAAATGTAACAAAAAAATCATATCCAGGATTACTGAATCCGAATACATTTATGCAATAATGCTTAGTTAATTTACGTCTATGGTGACTAAAGGTTAGCTTCTGTGACATTACATTTAAATTGGAGAATCGAGATTTCTCTTGGTATTGCTACGTGGGCATGTCAAATGTTGTAGTTACCAAGCCATAGCCAGCTGATAATAACTCAGGTTATTTCATCTGGAATAATAACCATGCAGATAAATTTATATGTATTCATTGAGGTACATTAATAAGCTTGTTTTATTAATTATTTTAAATGTTACTTTCAGGGCAAAGCTTCGATCTAATGGACGGCATTCTTGGAATGGCCTTGTCTCCTTTACGACATAATGGAATTGACCGTGATTTGTACTTCCATGCCCTGGCGTCTACTACCGAAAATGTTGCACCCACTTCATTATTACGAAATGAATCCTATATCCACGATTCAAATGCTGATCCACAATTGATTAAAGTAAGTGCATTTGGTAAAGTGTTTACTAAATTTCTCAAATATTGAGCTCTGAGAGTCATCTTTTATGATACGTCCGTGAACCAATCGAAAGGCAAACAATTTCAACAGTTTGCAGTAGTCAAATATATGAAAACAAAAATAAAATGTATCAATTAGACTTTGAAAGATGAGGTTAAAAAGATGCAACCACGTGCATGTATGCATTTTAATATAATGTGATAACGTAAATTAATTTGTATTTTTAGGTTTTTGCAGAAGAACGACCAAATCAGTCGGCTGCTGAAGCAATTGATCGTAATGGAATTATGTATTTTGGACTAATGGAGCCACCTAGCATTTGGTGTTGGAATACAGCTACTGAGTTTTCTACCAGAAACTTCCACCAATTGGCTGTTAATAGGGAAACGTTGCAATTTGCCAGTGGTGTTAAAGTCGTCAATAATCTCAAGGGTGAACAAGAATTGTGGGTTTTGACGTCCAGTTTCCAAAGAGTTATGACAGATACACTTACCTCAAATAGAATTAACTTTAGAATTCATGCAGAGAAAATCAAAACACTTATCGATAATTCCCCGTGTAGGGTTTCCCCAAAGGAAAGGATTGGAACACAAAGCTACCATGCCAATCTCATCACGCCCAGCAGGGGTTACAAAAGTGGGACATACAGATATGGCGCTGTCTCATATCTTTAGAAATCCGTGCCATGTCTGACCATTTGCTCAATAGCTTCATGTGGAACTATTGGCCATTTAGGAATATATATTACTAACAAAAATAAATGTTGTCTATTTTTACAATAAATTATTTTACTTCTGTAAGTAAAACTACTGTGTGGATAAAGTATGTAGTGATGAATTACGATAAATACGATACGAACAAATATGCAGTGGCGAGGATAGTTTCCTTGCTTCCACCTTAATATAGAACGGCATATAGTAAAAAAAGGAATTAAATACCGTTATAGCGATTATGTTACCATAGTTGTAAGATTTATAATAGACGTACATTTTTATAAGGATAGTAAAGTTATAAAAATAAAGAACTTGTGATAAATTTTGTAATTATTTAATCCATAAATAAGAGAATTTAAATAGATTGTTTCAGTAAATCAGTATACTTTTGCATTTTTGCGATACTCAAATCAATGTGTTTATCTTCAACACCCACAATCATTGCACCGATAATTGATGGATCTGTTTCTGTAAGTTGTATATTCTTTCCCACTTTGACGAATTTTCTAAGGGCGTCCATAAGAGATTTACGGTTAGAATCATTGAGTCGGCTCGCGGTAATCACTTCACATAATGCTTCGTTTCTATGAGCTGTCATTACAGCAAGAAACATAGTTATCATTCGCCTCAATTTCTTTAACCGACCATTTTCAGCAACAATTGTTAAGAAGTTTATAGCAGTAGCTGGCATACCTGAAAAATATATATAAAATAAATAAGTTCAAGATCTTTTTTCAAAACAAGGAAGCATGGTACCCATAAATGCCTATATGTGCGAGTATATACGTGCATGCATTGGTGCATTCTTATGTAATCCCATTACAGGCGTAAACATGTTTACGCCTGTAACGAAAAGAAATCTGTAAGGTCAATTTTATTAATATTTGAAATAACTTACTCTAATTGTTCCATCATGGGCTTAAGACAGTGAGAAGACGACTGAAGAAAAGATTGTGGGAATGCGTGAAAGATGATATGTATAAGGGAGTAAGCGCAGATAGGGTGCTCTAAAGAAAACAGCGAAAGCAGACCACATATTGCCCACACACATTGTCCCCAAAAAAATAGGATGAAGGGAAGGCAATGGTTATGTTTTTATAGACAGACTAAACACACAGATCAGATAAGATAGGCACTAACGTCTTTTTCTTCCAGATTAAGTTACATTTGTATTTATAGTACACTAACATTTTAATAAATACTTACCAACTTCTTTCCTAATTTCCTGTAACAATTTCGCTTTAGTAGCAGCAGACATCATACTAGTTTCGACAAAATCAATAACTTTGGGTTTGAGTAGTTCTTTTTGCAAAGTTCGAAGATGCTTCTCTACTTCCAATTGCTTCATTTGATAGATGCATTGTACAGTGCCGACACGCATCTACCTTCAACTGCTTGCATTTAGATAAAAAACATACTTCTTTCAATAAATATTTATGTTACTCTAAATATTTAAAAAACTATTAAATCACTACATACGCATCTCATCCTAGGTCTTACAAAACAAGAATATTGGACCAAGTAATTTATTGTTATTATAATAAGACATTTCAATTTTAATATATTATACTTAATCATAATATTGTCTTGTTACTGGAATGGTAAACATACAACATACGGTCTAACTGGTATCGTCGCCTATATAATAGATGAACAGTACCACTGACAATTCGACATCACATTACCACTCCGAAGAACTGAAATGTCTAAGTATACATTATAAATTGACAGCCACACTTACAACTACTTGGCTACTTGACAGCAAAAATAGGTGAGACAAAAGTACCTACGTAGAATATTTTAGACAAAATCTATTTCAGAAAAATAACTGACTAGGTAGGAATTCTCTTTTAACTTTTATCAGAATGAAATTGATTATAGAAAACAAAAACAATAAGCAAATCAAAAATCTATTCACTAATAGAGTCTACGAGAGTATCGTGAACAGGATCCTGACAATAAATATTATCATATGTTAAGGAATTGAAAGAGATCCTCATAATATGTTGTATTAAAGTATGTAGAGTTGCATGCACTTTTTGCCTATTCTAGGACAGATATGATGTATCTCTTGTATTTTGTCATGACAATTATAGAAGTATTTACTAACCAAATACTGGGATAGGCAGTTTTTTTCCTTGTGCAGCGAAGATTTGAAGTACTTTAGCCATAACTAATGAACATATGTTAACTTAAACTTTAGCTTTAAAAAACATTTCAAAATATTACTGTCTTTCATTACGTCATAGATAGAGATAGGTAAGGCCATATTATAAATTGTATATAGTCTAAACTAGGTCCAAAAATTTTTGATAAATTTTACAAATACTCATAGTTCTATTAGCTTATTTGTGTCGCATTCAAAAATTCAAATGATGAATGAATCATATTCTCAATGGATAAAAAAATCTGATTACTTCATAATACATTTTATATTAATTTTATTTAATATTATTTATGAATAAGTTATGTAAACACATCATACTGGAACGCTTGGTCAGTCTCGAGCAAAGCTCTTACGTATATAACCAGCGATCCGAGAGCCATGGCAGACGTTAACGAATTACAATTACCGCCTTCGGACGTCGCTGCTTTCTTTACTCTATATTCTTCCTGAAAATAAAATACATATTTATATGTAAAAAAATGATAATACAATAAATGAAATCAAGATGATCTGCTAAATTATATATACCTCTCGATCTTTCGGAGGAGGAGATGTAGCAGGTTCAATAAATCCCGTCAATTTCATAAAAGGCTGACGGTCATCTGCATAACATCCTTTAGGTTCTTGCCACGATAACATCTTATTCATCCACCTAGGTTTTATGAATTCTCCATAACCTTGCCATGTACAGTAGAATACTATAAAATGTAATACATTAATAGTATACTATAATATGAAGTGTCCTATGAAATGGCAAATAAATAATATTGTTAAATATATTACTTTGCTGCATAAACAAGGTCCTAGTCCCAGCAGGGTGATCCCACGCCTCGAGTGATTTCGACTCCTTATAAATTTGTATGCATGATTTGTAGATATATGCTGATAAATCGACACCTTCCATGCAATCGAATAGGCGAGATAGTATAGCTGCACGTACACGACTCGTTTGCTGGAATGCGAGACCCGACCCCTGCATAATTTGCGTCTGACATTCGGGTGTCAATTCGCAGACTCCATCCGATTGCGTGGTCTGTGTCTCCATAGCTGATATCAATAGTTGCATTGTACACGCATCTGTAATTATAATATTAAGACACGTAACAAGGTCAAAAACTTTCACTTCAAAATTTGCCAATTCGCCTCACATATTATTACTACCTCGAGGGCAAATTGAAGTGCCAAAAACGTTTAGTAACAGTATTTTGTAGACGCAAACTTATAACTATTCAAAGTAGGTGTGTGCATTGTACTTCCTTTAATGCAGCTAGAATTTTATTGCTTTTTTTATTACTTGGAATAGTAAAGAAGCTAACGGATGTAGTGGAAAGTAGCAAAGCGACTTGAAATTAACAGAGTCATAGATAGATCAATATTTAGATTTCATGAAGACTAAGGGAATATGTCGTAAAATATACTCAAAATTGCCACACTTCAAATCGAATCATAGCTTACAAAGCAATTAGTTTGTTGGTAAAAAAATCTGAGAAATACTTATATAAGTAGATCATCTACGGAAAGTATTTACGTATGTAATATAAAATTGTTCAAAGAATAGAATATAATATAATAGAAATAATATTTATTCGAATAAACTCTCAACAAAAACCAACTGAATATAAGTACTTATGAATAGTTTAATATTTTTTATTCTATCATTGTTATTATTTTTTAAAAAGAAAAGTCTTGTAGGTATACTTTTTGAATCTTTTTTCAGGTAAACACATTCTGGCACATTGTTGTTAACGCAATTACAATAAAACGAATTATTAACAAAGTTATACATTAACATACCAGCGGCCTTTCTACTCGGCATCTTTGTCCTCGCTTCTTGCACATATTGTTCGAATGTGAACCTATATGGCTTTTGTGTGCCCATCGTACCAATAGTAATGGGTTCCAATAGAGATGACAGCACCTCCATGTTCTCGAAAATAGATTTCACAACTATAAAACCGTTTAACTCTATTAATATAATCAATGGCAATATTGGAGCAGTACTGGTGGAAGTAAAATCGGCTCGGCGGGGTACGTTATGAGAAATTGGCCGTGGTGATTTAGAAGTTTACTAGCATTGATAACCTGGTGGATCATGGTTATCCTCTCATATAATCACAGAACAACAAACTTGTGTCACTGCAGGTCGTATCTATTTTGTTATTAAAAGGTAGCCTGTGTCCGTCATTCTAATACAAGCAAATAAAACATTTATTCGTATAAAAATAACAAACAGACGTTTGCACACATATGCATTACATAGCCAACTTTATCTTTATACCGAAACATAACACCTAAAAATCACTGTTAAATACCTTGATATATGACATGTTCGGCCTAAATATAGTACTATCAAATAAAGTATTAGGTAATTCAAAATATGCGAATTATATGAACATTAGTATTTTTTGTGTATAGTGTTACTATAATTGCGTCATTGTGATAAAAAGTAGACTTCACTGTTCAATGAAAGTAACACAACGATTAGAATGATCAATGGTTTATTGTAACAACCGATTTAGATACGGGCTATTACAGCTTACTGTTTATGAGAAAGTCGGCATTTTATACCTAGAGAAATACGAGTACTAATGTACATCAGCATCTATATTATAGATTTATACATTTAAATCGTATTAACATAGTCAGAATATAACGTAGTAATTTAAACCATACATATTTCATAACATACTTAAAATAGAGTGGAATTTCATTTATATATATATATTAATGTGATGTGGATTCTTTTTATCATCTAAATTGCGTAATAGGCATTTCCTTTACTTCTGAATGCAGTTGATAAAATAATGTTTTATTCATACACGGAGATTTGTGTAGTTTTTATTTAGTAATTCTAGCATAAAAATTATAACATCTACAGTTCGGCACCTTAGACGTAACTATGACCACTCGTACTACATGTATACCCTCCACTTCATTTTTCACCTAAGTAAGTCTCTTAATGTTAACCAATACCGTGTGGACAAAGCACAAATATTTAACTAACTTATAACTACTACTAAGTAAAAACCAAGCCATAAAGAGTATGATCTAACCAAATAACACTAGAAGTTAAACGATAAAATATAATAACTATACAAACCATATTCATAATCCTTACTGCGATAAACAAGTTTAGTATAATCAGTATTGTTTCGAATACGATCCATTCTTCTAGTTATGTTTTTCAAATTCTCACGCAGTTTTTCTGGCACTGATTTATCTAACTCGTTTATGGTGTATTCTAGCTGACCTGTAATTTTATAAAGTATAAAATGTGCGCAATTAAACACACTACTTACTACATATAATTCATAACCAGAAATTTTACCGAACTACGCCGGTTAGAATTAGCGTATCTACGTAATAAAGCTATATAAGCAACAGTATAGATTAACTGTTACTATAATAGTTATTCAATTTGTATTATAGTGTGTGTTTGTCTGTAATAGCTAGATCTTGAGTTTTATAAGAGGGTATGATTTTTATACAAAACTTAATTTATATTTTAATTTTACGGAGTATTATAGCCGAACAGTAAATTAAAACGGTAAAAGAAGCAAATAAATATAATGTAAATACAATATATTAATCAACCGGCTGATACCTGCCTAGAAAAAATCTAAGACATAGGATGAGATATAACTGTGTTATTCTTGGTTTCTTAAAAGTAAATTGTTATTATCATTACATAGTAATAAAACAAAGTAGCTGTCGCTGTCTGTCCGTCCCTATGTATCCTTATATCTTTAAAACTACGCAACGGATTTTGAAGCGATTTTTTTAATAGATAGAGTGATTCAAAAAGAAGGTTTATATGTTTAATACATGTACATCCGGGCAAAGCCGGGGCGAGTAGCTAGTACACTATAAATATACTATCCCTTGTCTTAGATGGGTTTAGGATGGTTAGTATATAGGCTAATTGTATCAGTGCCAGATTACAATGTATCCAATTCTGAAAAAAGAATAAATCTATGTAGCCGGGGTTCTTTGTGCCTTTTGTGTATCTACAGTCACACGATTTTGTAACAGAAATTTTAACAAAGAATTACAGGAATTTCTTTCCATTATACTTCTTATAGTGTAGAATTATTTTGATAGTTCATATGTTATTAATAATAATATATTGCAAAAATGTGTTTCAAGGGGCTGTGACAGTGATCAACTGACGAGCAAAAGATCAAGGAGATGTACTTTAATACTTTCTATTCCATATTATTTTCGCACTCGCACCCTGAGTTCAAAACTAAGCATGGCACTAGGCCTATAAATTATGGGTCAACTAATAATGTTAATTTGTTAATGTGTACAATGTGCTATATAAATGATCCAGGTAAGTCACTGTACTGTGGCTATTCTATATTGTAGTCTCATAAGGCTGTACAAGGTAGACAGATGAATTTTGTTGAGTAATTTATATGCGATCTATTAATACAATATTACGTATTAGGTATACTTGATTTGATTTAGACAACACTGACTTTGTCAGATTAGAGTTCATATTTTGAGGTAGGTCATATACCTATAGATTTATGTGCATATATGCGAAATAAAAATAAGTTATGTTCTGTGTTATAAAAAAAAATAGAAAGTAGATAGGCATGGTATGCACATAATAGGAGTGTTGAAACGTAGTTACTTGTCAGTGTAACGTAACATAAAATATTAAGTTATAACTCTTGACTTGATCATACTTAAAGTATATATTATATAAATGCACGAATCTATCAGATACATTTTATATTTGTTGTTAATCATAGTAAGATTCTTAAATTGCACTGTATACTATGCGATATATAATTTCTGTTTATATCCCGCAATATCAGCTTCTCAACAACCAGCAGCGCATAATTTTTTATGTATATCAAAAATTATGAATTATTTTAACCATCAATTATTATTCCTCTTTCTCATGTCTAAGAAGAGTAATTGTTATCCGACTTATATGTTTCATTAACAAATAAAAATAAGGAAACGTTTTCGTACAAATACTCGGTTAGATCGGATTATTACGTCCGCCTCAGAATGAACCGCGGATAACATCGTCTTCGTCTGCACAGACCATTAATAACGTTCAAGCCCTTACTTGCATTAATAAAAATGGTAGGTATATTATATATATATATACACATGTGTTTGTAATTAGTATAAAAATAATATGAAAACTGACCTCTTGCTAGACCCAAAGCTATGTACCATTCAGGATCCTTAGAAGGCTTTCGTTCATAATAATCCAGCAATTTATCCAAGGTTATAGATATTCTGTAAACTTTCGGGACGTTATATATAAAGTCTTGGGTATCAAAGTAAGGATATATAGCTGATACTTGGCTAAAAGCAAACGCCAATAAGACGACGTACGTTGTATACATTTTTATCAAAACTGACCTATTAACAGGTAACGAGATTGTGGTACGAAATTGTATTGACGTGGTTGCCAATTATTGGCTAATATTTAAACATAAAATTAGAAATAAATGTGAGAAAATGCCTATATTTCTATGTTTTATGTAATCGACAATCAGAACTTCAATACTATAAGAACAAAAATAATAAAAAGTAATACTATGTACTAGCAATTTGATCTATATTCTATAATGGATTAATTAATGAAATTGATAGGTATATTCAAGGTTTTCTACTAAAGCTATCTCAAGTTACTTATAAAGAGAAAGAACACGTTTGAATTTTGAAACTTTAATCTCGATAGCTTTGATGGTATTACAACAGATATCTTTAAATTGTAATGTAAGTGTTATATTAGCTTACACATAGGTACCTATAAAAGTTCACTTAAAAACACTTCGACTTATGAGAGATTACATAGTAATAGAAGAGAGTATTCTCTGCTTTTTAAAATATAATTCTTCAATATTGTAAAGGATTAATAAGGAATCACAACGAAAATAAAACCTGATATCAAAAAGAATCTGTGCACATGCAGTGCATTATACAATATAGGTATAAGAATACTAACTGCTAAGTTTAGACTTTCCATGTAGCTGAAGTCGATTGAAAATATTACAAGTCATGAAATCTCTTAAGAGTCAGCTCGCACACACAGATGATCCAATTTCGAAAAGATTTTTGCTTTTCTGACTCTAATTCTTTAGATCACAGTTTGCTGTTATCATCCAAAAGTTATATTAGTTATTAATAACCAGAATATAATATTGGTACTTACACAAAAATCCTACATTGTGAAGAATTAAAGTCGGCAGAAAACCATATATAACGAAACATTTCTGAAGACTATCAGATCTTGTAATAGCAACATTAAAAATATCACAGAAATATTCGCGAACTATGACGATCACTGTAATAGTTCGATTTATCATTTTTAAAAACGATTTATTAATTGAAAAATTGCTAATATTCTAAATTAAATAATATTATATTCTTAGTACTAGTACCTACAGCTGCATTGACAAATTAAACCTAGCCTTATACTAATCGATTTTCTGGAACTGGTGTTGTGTGAAGCTAACTTTATTCATGAGTATTTTACCGAGTTTACCAGCTAAGTACATATATTTTATTTTATTAATTATTATTATTATATTTGTCTACTAAATATTACCTTAGCAAAACTAAATTATCACAATTCGTTTTCATTTCATGTTTAAATGAAATACGGACGTCTAAATTTTGTTGAAATTAGAAACGCACTATATAATATTTCAGCAGAGAATATCTATTTTATGGACTTACATAATGTACCTACTAGCCGGACGTTTAGGTATAGGATGGATTATAGTTGCATTACACAATAATGTATTGCAATAGACTCCTTCAGTGAATAAAATGATTAATTACTTAATAAAGAGATGAGCTGCTAAAGTGAATGCATTCTTACATTGAAAGGGTCTCAGCCGCGTGCTACCACAAGCTTTAGTGCTGTGCTTGTACTCATGCGCACTCCGCGCTTATTTACTCGTAATTCTATTACATTAACTCTCTTTGTAGTACAGTGAATAATGAGTTCTGTTAAAGTGAGACTGATAATAAAATTTTAATATCTGCATTATGTAAACAACATGGCGCTATCCCATCAATGGTTCATACAGTGGTCACCACCTTCCATGGTGATCAATGATATTAACAACCAATATAGTGCCGTAAATAATTGGAACAAGGGAAGGAATAAGTTGGAATGGCAGGTCACGGTACATAATAGTGAGGGTGAATATAATAGTGTCCCAAATATTGGTCTTAAGGATTATCCCGATTACTATGGGCGTAAAAGCACTGCTAATAAAAAATACGGTAAGAGATTATAAAATATGTATTTATGGATTTAGTGTTTTCCTACAGAAAAGATAATATCCTTTCTGTAGGAAAACACTAAATAATATTAGGTATTAGATACAGCTAGTTTTTTTATATTGTGTACTTATTTTTACAGTTCAACTAATTGTTATTGAAAATTAAAACTTAATATTTCACAGATCATAAATTCTATTATAAATACACAAGCAGATTTAATCAATTGATGATTTTGCAATCAAGTTTTTATATGTCGGTTTATTTCGTATAATTTTATTAAACGATAAATAAAAGTTTTAGCGGCTTCTAATATATTGGGAGAAGTAAACATAACGTAATGAGAACATTTCCGGAAATGACCCCGCGTGTCTTTTCTTTAGTGGAAAGGTTGAAATGAACAATATAAACCACATCTGAAAGCACATTTGAATATGCCTTATAAGTGGATATAGACATCCATAATCTTATCTATTTATTTCATACTGCATCTATACCATTTTAATTTACTAAAATGCTATAGATGCAGTATAAGTAAAATTACATTTTACAGTAATTACATTATGACTGAATTGTAAAGTTAATTTTCATAAACATTTGTCTTAATAAGATGCCTTGTCAAACCTCATAAAGTTTTTTGTATGATGCTGGTATCCCACTCTAAAAAACAAAAAAATCTAATGTAGAATATTAAAAAAATCCAAAAATAGGACCTTCCACTTACGATACATGTTTTGAAGGATTAGTACCCAAACAATATATTACAGTTACACTATATGAGTTAAATAAATCGAGATAAGATAACTCCAATAATAAGCTAATTTATATTTTACACATATTATAATTATTGAGTATAAATAATAATCAATGATGATTTTGTTTAAATCTAGTCAAAAAAATCGAAGTCAACAATATCGGTTTATAAGGGTTATAAAATAATTATGTTTCGCCTTTGCCTACCAATGTTCTTGTGTTTTTTTGCTGTATTATTGAATTTTCTGCACTAATACTTGGTCTTATTTGTTTTAAGTCAGAAGTATTAGTTATTTGCAATGTCCTTTTTGATTCTTAATTTTTGTCGAGGTTGTTGGGGATCCAATATGGAAACACTACCGTTCATGTAACTACACAGATGTGTCATAATATAATCGAAAACGTAACATGGGTATTTTTCCACAAAATGTCGACAATTATCGAATCGGACATCGGAACATCTCTATTTTACTAGCTAGAGTAGGTCTAACTGATTACTGTACACGATAACAAATAAGAACAGCCGTGAATTTTTTTTAGTATTTGAACCATAATACCAGCTTTATATTTTCCTATAATCATCAGGGTCATACGATTGGCCCCAATATCTCTTGCTAGAAAGTAATGAGGTCGAGCATGAAGCTGGTGGCTCTATGAACAGCGTCAGTCTTACCTTGAAATGCTTACGCTTTTAGAAAATATTTATACCTTGTAAACAATACAGATTATAACAAATTTCTTATGGTTGAATGGTATCTTTATATGCCTACTACCTGTATTCGGTGGTTAAAAGTAGTAGTAGAATGTTTTATAGGTTCTAAACTTAAAGGTTGGAGTAGATCGACGTGAACACATACTTATTTTATCATTATCCTCTGGTATCTCAGCATTATACCGCTAGCGCAGGCGAGTGCACCATTTCATTATCATTGGACAACCTAAGAGAATTCACAAATGTCCCTAAAATAGGTAACCAGAGAATAGTTACTGTACCAAGCTGTTCAACTACACAAAAACATATCCATTAATAGTTATAATTATATTAAATATATTATTATATTAAATACATATCTCTATATAGTATATAAGAAACTTGCTATTTTCGTCTATGTCTTTCTCATAATCCTTTTTTTCAAACTATTCATCTGATTTTGATATGAATTTCACTACCATTTTTAGAATAGGTCTTCAGCAAGATTTTTATGTATCAACGTACACTAAGTTAGATGACCTCTGTTACATAAAATACACTCCTGCAAATACGGGTGTGTATACTAGGCGGGTCACTAGTACATGGTATAGTAATTAGACATTGTAGACAGATCTGCAGGTCTAGTATCTATGCCTATAAATGTGAAATCACGCAACTGTATGGTCGATACTTATATGTTGTTCTTGTGCAATAACTGTATAATGCTTTAGTGAAAGTAAAATGAGTTTTATTAAAAGTGCTGTTAATGAAAACGTGGCTACAATTTTAAAAACTATATACATTTAAGTAAAACTACTGTGTAGTATAATATCGTTATTATATAAATTGTAATAATGTTATTATTTTTACAATCAATTCTATACATTATCATATTTGTGTATAGTCATGGTTTCTATTATTATTTTATTTACCATCGATATACTCTGCTACGTATGAAAATAATTATGTTCGATTTTTTTTCAAAAATAAATACGACAGATAACGTAGGCTGTGTCTATAAGTACGAATTTAAATAAACATGTATTTTTAAGTATATTTAATGTAATCAAAAAATCAAGTTTAGTCTGTTTATTACTTTCGTTTCGTAGAAATGTTTTTATACAGGAGGGAAATTGCTCACATAACTTCTCAAAAAAGAAAGAAGATGTAAATAAATATATATTTATTGGCGAAATTCATTACTCATTTCAATGGACATTGTGTGACTTCGGAAGCATATCAAATACTACTAAAAAGTAAAGCGCAAAATCAATTTGTTTTGCATTGCGTGAATCGCAGCTGGACTTGGACAGTGTTCAAGACGCGTTGACATCTATGCTCTTCTAACAGCCGCCAGTTTATAGTCTCTGGCGGTTTATGACGAACCATGGTAGCTTGCACTAGTCATAAAAAGACAGACCAATACCAATTAACCTCTTTACCAGTTCAATTTTTATATCTTTTGCAGTAGACTTGTATACTTTACAGTGTCTACTGTACTGTACTCTTTAGAGTTGATAGATACCAATTCTTATAAATAAATAATCTATATCCATTTATTAATTCTTTGGTGTATTTTCAAAACTGTCATTTACCTGTGGCTTAGATTTTTGCTTATGTAGTAAAAATGGAAAGAAACTATTCCTCAATCCACTTCGAGACCACAAACTGCAACCTGAAAGACACGTTCACAGTAATTAAAAATAATTTCAAATGTATAAAATATGGGTACAGTCGTGTTGTTAGATACCAGATTACTACAATACATCTATTATCTGAATATCTATATTACTTATATTTACTTTATTAGAATAAATTATTAAGAATTATTACTTAAATGAGAATATGAATAGTGTTTCGTAAACAGATACCTACTCTCTACTACTCTTTTGTACTTGATCTTTTTAAGTACGTCTGTTATCAGACTGGACCGTATGCTTAAAAAATAATTTAAAAGACACTAATGTACCTGCAAGTATACTTTTGATGACTAATTAATATCAATTAAAATACATATGCTACTGTAATATCATTGTTCGGTAAGTTTAAAACAAAATCAAGTCATTGTTGACAAAAAAAAGTTAAATTGAGACCACTTCGTAAAACAATTGCTCAGTCTTGTTTGAAAGTTGGTTATTAACGTTTCCTCTTCATATCCACTATTGTATTTAGTGATATTTTTTTATTGTCTGTTAACTAATTTTAGTCTTTTTTAGCCGATATCTACGATGATTATTATAAGTAAGTTCTAAAAAGGTAAACGAAAATAAGACTGTTATATCAAATTTAGATATAATAGAAGGTTAAAAACATTCGAATTTAATATCGGAAAAATAAAACGTTATTTTTATATTGAATTGTTGAATTTTTAAATTGTTGACTATTACCACTTATAAAATATTAATTATTTTAAATAAACTGATAATTGTTGAGATGATAACAATTATATTTTAACAATGCGATGCTAAACCTAGCAGCTTAATGTAGGTACTTATAATTCATTTCGACTTCTCTCCGAAAAACTCAAAGTAGTACTCTTGAGGATTACAATTCTTAATAGATAATCGTACTTATCACTAGGTCAAGTATTTGTAATAAAATTAATTTATGCTGAAGATACATTTTCAAGTGCAAATAAAATAATTATATTTTTAGATAGATCTCAGGCAGCTGGATTTGCGCTATGGCTGACAATGTTAGGCGTGGCGAGTTCGCAGACCATACCAGCAGACTTGGATACACCACCTTTTAGTACACTTTACAAGTGGAAGCAAATCGACTTTGAGTTTCCCTCTATGAGTCACCGATGGCAAGCTCTCAGCACTGGGTATTACTCTTATTACCATCGTTACATACTCTAGCATAGCTAATCATATGACTAAATAATATCGGCAAACGGTCACAATATTCACGTTTTTATTAATTAATCTAGATAAACTAGAATCCTCAACACGATGTAAGAAAGTATTCACTTATCCAATCTATTTCTCGCACTGTCAAGTGGATTCTAACAGTTGTTCTACAACAGTATTCTTGAGTTGGAACTTCATAATATTAATATAATAATGATATTAAAGCAATGAATTAATCTGAAAGGTATAGCTTAGTAATAATTTTATAATATTAAGCAGTATCACAGGACTTAATTGTAATTCCATTGGTTTTGGGACTCTATAATTTTGTTGGCTAAATAATTGACTCATAAGTTTTAGCCATGAAGATATGAGTATATGTTTTTTTTAATAACACGTAAAATAGTATTATTTATTGTATTTTCAGAAAATACATACCAGAAAATGTGTTACCACTGGGATTGGAAGTGTGGGGGCACCGCGTATTCATCACAGTACCTCGATGGAGACGTGGTATTCCGGCGACTGTTGCCACTGTCTCGCGGTATGGTGGTGTAACCTCACCACCACTCAAGCCATACCCCAATTGGCAATTTAATAATCCATTAAGTAAGTTACTTCACTTTATATATTTCACTTTTTAAGTTTACTTGGTACCTATTTTGAATAAACTTGGCATAATCGCAGGTTCGATTACTTTACTGTACAAACGTTTATTTTCATATTATTATTATATTTAGTTTTCAATTTATCTGCCAATTTTTAATCTAAAATTATGCCATTTTTTGATGATCGAACTGTATAATAGTATAATATTTTTAAGCAATATCGGTTTACTCACTTTATTAATATGTAGATAAAAATGGTGTTAATTGCTATTTTATTATTTATAATTCTAACTTTTGCTGCAATTTATTTGGTCGTCAATTTTCAGGTAACGGCAGGAATTGCTCTGGATTAACATCAGTCTTTCGAGTCCACGTAGACCCCTGTGGAAGACTATGGGTATTAGATTCTGGTCAAATAGATTCTGTAGATAAAGCAGATCAAGTGTGCCCGCCTAGTTTATTAGTATTTGACCTTCAAACAGACACACTTATAGCTCGTTACACTATTCCCAAAAAATATGTGTTAGAAGACTCCCTATATGCGAACCTAGTAATTGATACAAGAACAGAAGACTGTTCAGATGTTCATGTATACATAGCAGATACTTGGCGCTTTGGACTTCTTGTATTTAGGGAAAGGGATGAGAAATTTTGGCGTTTCTCTCACCCCCTATTTTTTCCAGATCCGTTAGCTTCGAATTTCACTTTACACGGACTTAATTTTCAGTGGACTGATGGAATTTTTGGATTATCATTATCGCCGATTGACATATACACAGAGCGTATATTATACTTTCATTCTATGTCGAGCTATAGGGAATTTTATGTATCAACAGCTGTACTACAAGACCCAATGCGTGTGAAAAATAGTTCGTCGGAGTTTAATTTAGCTGGTGAAAGTAGAGGACTATCTGGGCAATCGTCCGCTTCTGCTATTGATGATAGAGGAGTTATGTTTTATGGTCTAGTCACTCGTGATAGTATTGGTTGTTGGGACACAAAGAAACCATACACGAAGGTAATGAATGGGGTGGTAGCTAAGAATTCAGAAACTCTTATATTTCCTAATGACATAAAAATTGATCAAGAAGAACGACAAAATGTTTGGGTCATCTCCAATCGTCTGCCTATGTATCAATCAGCTCCGTTAAATGCTGATGATTATAACTACCGTCTCATGTTCGCGGACGCTGTAGAGGCAGTTAGAGGTACTATTTGCGATCCAGAAATATAATATAGGTCCATCATCTCATATATATATATATGTAAATTTGTTGCCATAAAAATGTTATATTTAAAATAAATTATTTTTATAACGTATACTGCTCTATTGTAGAAAAAATATTTGTTTCATTTATGGCAAACGAAGGCTGTGAACGATGTCGTCGGCATCAGTTTAACATCTGTATATAATAATTTAAGAGACTTAGTTTTCTGCTGAAGTGCCTATCAAAATAATTCAAGTTATATTTCTACTACAACGCTGCATGTTACCAACGTAGGCGCAAAAAGATTGTCATCGTTCATAATAAAGAAAACTTTTTTGTTTTTACGTGTTTTGAAATAATGTATAGAAAGGTAACTCTTTAACGAAATATGTGCTTCATATAATAAATTTGCAGATATTCAGTCCACTAATAGTTACTAATGTTACAATAAAATAACCTGTATAAAGTAATATCTACCTATAGGTAATATCGTCTTCTTGTACATGTTAGAAATGATTGTATTTAAAGAAAGTCGAGATTATTAATTTATAATACTCCTCTGTTCAGAGACATTGTGAAAAGCTGATCTAATTTTAATAATCGTAAGTATCTAGTAGTTAGTATATTAGCAGTATAGTATTATTACAACTAGCTCCTGAATAATTAATTAAATACAGACAAATTTCATTTCAGAATTCAACAGAATTATTATTCTATTATATAAATGTGCCAGCTTCAGAAGTAAGTACATATCCCACATCTATGACAAGAAAAAAACTATTGAAATTGAAGTAGTAGTAGTTGGGTGTATTGAATATTATAAATTGTACATTTCTGCTATTAACAGAAACGATTCCTTCGATAAAGAATTATCTTAATTTTAATATTATACATATAAAAAGTCTAGCGGCCTCTTATTTTGCGGATATTTACTGTAAATAACGGCATCCTTGAGCAACCCCATTGCGTTTGTATATTTTATTATACATACATAATTAATGGGTTCAAAAGTTAGTATGACCTCGAGTAAACAGGATTCATCAACACATAATTTGTACCACTGTTCTAGAAAACATCACTTCCTAATAAATAAATTAAATACAAGTATACTTATTAGTAGTAGTAATGTTATTGAATAGTTTTTATATATAACTGATGATTATGAAGGAGTCGAAACATTCGAGTAAAGAACTAATAAGTTTCAGTAGTCTTGAGACTATACATACACATATGAAGTTACACATACAATGAAATGACAGTGTACAAAAACTTTATATTCTGGAATAACAACGGTACTACAAGCGTCACATGACGTGCAAGCTACTCTTCGTGTAAGCAATATAAGTATATAGGCGACTATTGCTGGCCTTTACCACAGATGTGCTATTGTTTGCCCTTTCAGTTACAATAAAAGTGAGGTTTAAGTAGATAGTTTAAAAGATATATAATGCAACTAACCCGACAAATTTTGTCCATAAGATGTCTCTAACACGAATACTTGTACCCCACACTTTAATAATTCATTAGGGTTCCATGGACTACTATGGGGCCACCGTGAATACTGAATGTAGTACTGTCTCTTCCAAATGAAGGATACTGCTATATTGTTATAAAGTCTTATTTCTAGTATTCCTTCTTTTGTCCTTATATGATGTATTTTATCTGTTCGTTGCTTGTTTCGTTTTCTTACCCCAGATTGTCAAATTCTAAATATGTGAACGTTCACAATATGTTAGGTACATATATAAATATTTACTATTATAACAGGGCAAGTAATGTTATAAGTTTTAATTTGTCGAAATAAGTGCACTAATAAGACTGGTAGAAATTGAATTATTTTGTTTATGCAATAATATAAATATACAACGTGGTTTACGAGAATAACAAGCAGTTACATCCACATGTGTTTTGGTCTGAAGACAAAACAGACGTGTGTCGCCGTGTTCCACTAAATTTATCTCTCAATTCAGGCCAAATAATTACTAGTTCATGGTCGTTTTAAAAGTTTTCTAAATGATAATATAAAAGGTAAGTGCATTATGTTTTAATTACATACACTTTTTCTTGTATATCAATTAATGAATCCCTATAATAATTGCATCCTCATTCCATGTGGCTTCTTAAGAATAGAATAGAAAATCTTATATTTAAGTAAACTTTATGCACTTTTGAATAGTCATTAGTTATTTTTTTTAATTTACCGCTGACTCCGAATGTTCTCACAACATAAGAAAAACAAGCAAAAAACTTGCGTGTTACTCTTTTGAATAAACGTTGTGCCTTTACATTTTTAAGTCGAAATGTGGGAATACACACTACCAATGAGTACTAGTTTATTCATTTGTAATGTAAGAATTATAGTAGGGATCACATTTTTACTAAAGAAGTGTCACATCTTAAACTCCTATTATTTTTTCACAGTGAAACAATATTTAAAGCAACAATTTTTTTTTAAATCGGTTCTGTAAATTTCGATTTGATCTTTTTTAAACAAATAATGAAATCTTTCCTCTTTTTAATGCTACGAGTAGTTTAGCTAGTCAGATATGTATATACATACATATTTACTATTATCTTTTAACTTAAATTCCAAATATATTTAGGCAGTGGTATGTGATACATTTTATTTAAGCTATCTTGCACGACATTTAGCGTGTAAATAGATTAAAAAAAAAACTATTTCTTATTTCTTTTTTGGTAATAAATTCTAGCATTTTAATTAGAAAAAAATAAAAACATACTATCTATTTAAACCCAGACAATGTTATCGAAACTTAGACCTCTATTTCGTGACTTATATTAAGTAAACAACAGACCGAGGTAAATGGATGTGGTATATTAACAATAACACGTTAATCACTAAACAACTACAAGTGATATATTTTTATTTTTAAGGTAAGGTTTTTAGAAACTTCTTCATCAAAACAATCTCTATCAATAGTAATTAAATTAAATTTGTACCGAATTAACACAAGTAAACTCTATCGATTGCATATGGATCATCAAAACAGTGCATAAGACATAGACGCAATATAAATTCTCAGAAAACCTAACAGTATCTTTTATTTTTTGAAGTTACCTGATTATTCAATCCAGGTGTTAACATGTAGTAATTAAATTTAATAAGTTAACGAGTATTTAAGACAAACAAAGAACGTGTTCAACCAGTCATGCATCAATGCTCGCTGTAAGTGAAGATTATAGGATAGTAGGTCAGTTAATAAATAGTTTTTAAATTATTGATACAGATATTTATATAGGTACTATTGTGTCAGGCTCTATATAAAAAAAATTAAACTACTACTACTACTATATCTTATAGATAAAATTTAATACATTCAATAGAATTTTATTTCTATACCTACTTACCAACTACAACGACATAGTTCTTTTTTACCGATTTTCACTCTATTTATTGCTTTGCAGTAGGAAATAGGATAATAATATTATATCTGGACCTCCTGTTAATCTGGGCAAGATTATTACTTACTTATTGATCGAATTTAGATAGGTATTAGTAGTTTCTGAATTTAACACATTTGGTTACACAATAATACATATGAACTTTAATATTCACCTGTACCATGATGATAAAAAATATCCTGTGAATAAATCTGTCTTTTAAAATTGGGTGACAAGTCTTGCTTCTTTAAAGATGTTGACAACTTATGTAGATAAAATTTGAATAGCTATGGGCTAGCTATTTGATTAGGTATGCCTGCAATGCCTCGACCTAGAAACGTTATAACTAAATACTATTTCTCTTAATATGTAGTAATTTGAATTTATTATTTTGAAATGGTTTTGTAATATTTTATCTGCATAATTTGACACCTCATTTGGAGTAATAACTAGCTTACTAGAAAGTATTAGATAAAACTTACAAAAGTGGATCTATCTGTTTGTTTGTCACAGATACTTGACTAAACTACGTAACTAGGTCAATTTGGTAAAAATTTACATTAGACTAAAGAACGAGAATCTAGTCTTGTGTTAAAATTATAGAATATTCAACCAGACGAAGTGGCATGGTAAGGTATATAGTAATATACAATATTTGGGGGAAAGGGAATGTTAGTAATGTGGATTATTGCTAGCAATGTATTATGTATAACCTCTACGTGGTTCCCTCTAGAAACCATTGTGATAGGTTCGTGGTGACTTTACCTCCATGGGCTAACTGACCTAGCCTCATACTCATCTTGTCATCCTTCACTGGTACCAGCGTATACCGTTAGAGCAGGCGAGTGTACCAATCCATTATCGTCCTTTAATACATATACAATATTTGGATATTACTTGTTACTTGTTACCATGCTTCGTTGTATTGATTAGCATAAAGTAAATAAGACTAACCGGATACCGACGACAATGTAGGTACATAAATGTAATATAAAGTTCAATAGACTAATAATATGTAGGTATAGTCAAAATGTGTAACCGTGGGACACGGCAAGTTAAAATCGCTCACGAAAAACATCTACACACCAATATTTAAAACTTAAAATAGCATTATATCATTCAACATTAGGTAATTAAACATTTATTTCTACATAATTAAGTTTTTATAATTATTATAACATAATCGCAGTAGATAAAAAAGTATATACCTATGTATAATGAAATAAACTTAACGATTGATGTATGTACTCGCTGTGCCCCTGGTTTCACCGGCGTTAAATTTCAATAAAAAATAAAGACAAAATCCGTTCAGTAGTTTTTGCATGAAAGAGTAACAAACATCCATACTCACAAAATTTCGCGTTTATTACATTACTAGCTGTGTCCGCGACTTCGTTTGCGCAACGCACACAACGGTAGCCCTTAAGTCTAAATAATTTTCCCTGTTTTTGCAATATTTTTCACTGATGCTTCGCTTCTATTGGTCGTAGCGTAATGTTATATAGCTTAAAGCCTTCCTTAACAAATGAACTATTCAACACAAAAATTATTAATTATTAATTTTATTTTGTCAAATATCTTTAAATAAATATAAGTATTTTTGTTTGGCATGATTATTTCATTTATTATAATCTAGCAGTTACCAGCGACTTTGTCTAGTGTTTAAAATATTTTCAATGCATTTTAAATGCAATAGTGTGTCTGTTTCTCTGTTTGTTATTTTTTTCATGACTAAATCTCTAAGATCTTATTGAAATGAAGATGATACGAATATATATTGTCTCTCTTTCATGTTATCTATCTTCATTTCACGAGGATGAATATAAACATAATTAATTGACTTTTCACTGGAAGTATTTCTAATATATATTCGTATCATCTTCATTTCAATAAGATCTTAGAGATTTAGTCATGAAAAAAATAACAAACAGAGAAACAGACACACTATTGCATTTAAAATACATTGAAAATATTCCTTTTGTACTTGACGTTTATAGAACACAGTCGCTTAGACGTAGATATGTATTCATCAACTTTACTGAACATAAACAGATAAAATAATTATATGGAATAGGTATTGTATTAATGATTCATTAAACTGAGACATATCTGTATAATATCCAAGTAGAAAATATATACACCAACATCCGAAATGTTAATAGAAGTGGTTTCGGCAACACTAAAGTAATATTCATATGCCACACGCTTGTGGTTTGTGGACAAGTTTAATCACAAACTGGTTATGTCAACTTGTCGCCCTTCAAATGCTACGGTCAAATATAATTAATCAATCCCAATGCCTAATGATGTGTATGTAAAAATTTGCACGACGTAAAAATACGTTAATTTTATTAGATCACTTTCAAATGTTCAGAATATTTTTATTCTACATATGTGCTAATTAAGTTTCGGTTTTAAATATATTGTATCATACATATTAACATAAAACATATTACCTACTTAGATTTCATACTATGACTTACTTTTACATTGATTTAAATAACACATACCCTATCTTAGGGTAGGTATGTATTATTTGTATCATTTCGTAACTAACGGTACACTATATAATATACACTATATAAGATATTAATTTATTTAGTTTCTATTCTTTAAGCTCCTTAATGTACCTCCTTTTTACTCGCTAATAAATACTAATTGTAAATTAAATTATCTAGTGATATTTTCGAAATTAATCTTTGCTACAACAGTAATACAATGATTTCTTTGCACTAGATGGAAACAATGAGGCGCCTGCTTATATTGTGTATCCTGACAGTGATCCAAATAAATGGACTCATTGCTCAGAAAAAGGCTATAGGCACTTTGTACAGATGGAAGCAAGTGGATTTTGCATACCCAACGCCTGAAGAGCGAGATGATGCAATAAACAATCAGTAAGATTTGCTCCAATTCTATGTCTTGTTATCCATGTAACTAGATACTATACATAAAGTACTAGAAACTCTTATTTTTCTTATAATAGTATTTTTTAATGAACGATATTGCACAAATGGTATCAAACTTTCATAAATAGTTATACTTTCATAATAATTATACTTCTACATTTTAAAAACTATGTTTTCCAGGGAATTTATCCAGGCTAATGTTATACCATTAGGAGTTGAAAGATGGAAAGATCGAGTGTTTGTGAGTACTCCACGGTGGAAGAAAGGTGTACCAGCAACATTGTCCTGGTTGCCGATCCACGCTGAATCTGAATCCCCGCCTCTGGAACCATACCCTGACTGGGACTGGCATAATGGAGGTAAATTAATTATAATTAAAAATTATAGTCAGTAAAAAAACAACGAACTATTCAGTAAAATATTCTGTTGTATTCTAATACTTTAACTCCTATTATAATTATTTTTGTTGCAGAAAACTGCACCGGTTTCACATCTGTTTTTCGCATGGCAGTGGATCACTGTGGAGTCATGTGGGTTCTAGATTCTGGCCAAGTGGAAGCTTTCGAAACACCGCGTCAACTTTGTCCTCCAACCCTGTTTGCTATAGATTTAGAAACGGACACAGTCATTTCACGTTACCAAATACCAAATGAATTTGTTCTTCAAAATTCTCTAATTACAAACTTAATAGTAGACTCAAGAGATGCTCGTTGTAGAGATCTTCATGTTTATATTGCGGATGCCTGGCGTTTTGGTTTGATTGTATTCAGAGAAGAAGATACAGCTTTTTGGCGATTTACTCATTACAGCTTTTACCCTGAACCACTATTATCGAATTACACGCTACATGGACTTAACTTTCAATGGTCCGACGGTTTGTTTGGAATGGCGTTAGGCAAATTTCAATCAGGTGATCGACCTCTTTATTATCACTCGATGTCAGGTTCTTACGAGTTTATGGTTAGTACGGCTATCTTAAGAGATCCGTCACGTCTTAGTGATGCTGTAGGTGAATTCAAACTTATCGGCGAGAGCCGTGGCCCTGATGGACAAGTCTCAGCCGCAGCTGTTGACCGCAATGGTGTCATGTTCTTTAACCTAGTTTCACGCGACAGTATTGGATGTTGGGATACTCGTAAAGCTTACAAAAATGAAAATTTAGGTATTGTTGCTAGAAATAATAAAACATTAATTTTTCCTAATGATTTAAGGATAGATCACGAAATACCACAAAAGATTTGGATTGTAACAAATCGTCTACCATTCTATCAATTTAACCTTATTAATCCCAATGAGTTTAATTACAGGATAATGTACTTAGATCCTATACAGGCTATAGAAAATAATATATGTCAATCAAGTATTCCCGACTAAGAAAAAAATGCAAAATATAGAATATTTTTTGTACTTGTACATTATCTTGATAATGCCTCAAGTATAAATATATCACATAATATAACAGTACCTAGTTTAATGTTCGATTGCATCTTCATTTAGCTCTTTTAAACTTTTTTTAGTGGAAGTAGAATTTTCAGAGTTCTGAGATAACATCAAAGATTCAGAAGTATTGCTTATAGAATATTCATGTATATTATGTATTGAAGAAAAGTCGTTTATCGTACCGTAGTCGTATCGTACTTTAAGTTCCTCTACTGAACAATTTGTATTAGTAGGTATTTCAGCTTTCATGCTATTCAATACGATATATAAGCTATCAGTAGAAACTAGCTGTTTATCCATAGATTGCCTTGAAATTTCATCTTTAAGCTTCCATTTTGAATCCATGTTTGAAGAATTCTTGTCTCCGGAATTATTACTAAAAACTACCGAATTCTCACTTAATGTCTTTTGCATGTTAGATTTCTTCAAACGATTTGGTACGTCAATTTTTTTTCGACTAACTACTTTTTTAATATCTACTATTGTAGTCTGATTGGATTCAATAGTTAATGTATGCTTATGACTTTTTATTACGTTGTTGTTGTCGTCTCCTTTTCTACTTTGAGTATGTGTTCGTTTTGTATATTCAGACTGCAATGTTAATGGTATCTCAGACAACTTTTTCATAAAAATTTGCGGATATTGCTGTAAATAAGAAGTGGTTCTTTTACTAGTGGTACCACCAAGTGAGGTTGCTTCCGTATCTTCAGCAGGTATATTTGTACAATCAATATTATCAAATTTTGGTATAATCATAAAGGACTGAGAATTAAATGGGTGTATACTACTGGGATCTTCTTCTTTCTTTAAAAATGCAGCAACATGCAATAGCATTACTCCAAATTGTTCAAGTATACGATCACTATCACGGGGTATTGTAACTTCACTGCCAAACAAATCTTCATAAAAACCTGCATCTGGTATTAGACGATTAGATGTATCGGGTTGTAATGTATCATATTCTATAGAGTTATTTTCAATAGCACAATCTGTAGCTTCATTTAACCGAGATAAATAATCACATTTTGTCCAATTTGTATCTCTATTAGAAGAATGTCTATCATCATAGCTACAACAAATATAGCATTAATTTAAAAATAGGTAGGCCACATACCGTTTTGAATCTCTAACCACAGATTATGATTTGCTATAAAATCACTTACAAATTTGTGACTAATTTTCTGCGCAAATGTTCTTCTCCAAATAATGATTTAGTGCATCGCCTTCGGATCGCTAATTCAAGACCGTAATCATGGTCACTACTTTGTAACACTGCTGGGAATGTTTTAAATGCTGATGCCATTTTAAGGGCATGGTAGTAACTGAGGAATAAATAGACGAACACGTCAATATCATCTAAAATACTTTGACTACTTAGATATTAGGTAAGATGAAACGTATGAAAATAGATTGAATTCATTTTTTACGTAACTATTATTCTCTAATATAAGAACACAACGTACGTGAACACGTACGTTGTGTTCTTATATTAGAGAATAATAGTAATTAATAACTTAATTACTATTATTCTTATTTAATAACTTAATTACTTAATATTAATTAATACTGAACAGTAATAATTAATTGTATCCATCAATTCCTTACATTAATACGAGTCTAATGTATTATTTACGTAACTAACACAGACATTAATTTAATGTAATTTGACGCTATCAGAAATAGGCAGAATTAATACATAATAATAACTTGCTACAGTGCTTTTAAAGTACATGTTACACTAACATTTTTTTGCGATTGTCAGAACGATTAGCGATAAAGCCTAACATGTACGAACAATCTTTAATTGTATTTTTTTCAGTAATGGGCGTACTGTAGATAATATAATAGATTTACCTGCCTAGAACTTAAGTTATAATAGAGTATGTGTTAGTATAAAATTGTATTACCTGTACACTAGTATCCACATGTAAAATGCAGGCATTATTGACGCGACTTTGGTAACAACAAATTTTATACAGAGTGGTCTAGCTGGTCCCAATAATACACATGTACCGAGGCCAAGCGCAAGACTCATCAATTCACACAGCAATTTTCTTACAGCAGCTATTAGAAGCCAAAGTAGTACTAAGACGGGCCGTTCCTCCTGCATTAAAAAATGTGTAAAATAACTTAATATTAATTATATTATAATAGAAATAGCTATTGTACCTACTTATTATACCATTGCTACAAATATCCATTTAACTAACAAATTTAGGTTTATGAGAGTATTACCTATACCCACGAATATGTTAATAGCGCCATCTAATCCCAAACAAAAAGTACTTGTTCAAATAAGTTATACGTACATATAATAAATAAATGTGTAATTCTGGAACCAACATCCTATACACACACCATTCAAATCATTCACACCATATAGAAAGCATCCAACTCAAATACATCATCAATGTAAATAAAAGTATTTACCACTATATATATTTATATATATATATTTATAATGTTTTACATATAAAGTATTTAATAAATAAATAATCTATGATAGACAACTGTGTATTAGAAGGCAAAAGCTTACACTTCATACATGAAGAAAGTTTGTACGTAACTTTTACTATATTTGTATATGGATGGGACTTATAATAGCAATCAATGGATATTTTTAAAAAAAAGAAAGGAACCGACCTATACATACGTTCAGTAAAAACTAAGTACCTCTTTTTACGAAAATTGGGCGATCGGAAGAGTATGATATTACGCACACTTATAATTTATATAGAGAAGGAGTGCAAAAGGCTAATATTTTTTTTTAATTATGCATAAGAAATATATAAAATCAATAAAAAAACTACCGCGTATTTCCCACATACATACATATAGGTACACTCTTTTCTTTATTGTGTGAGTATGTGGTCAAATTGATAATATACAATAGTATATTGTTTGTGTTTAACATTATTTGTCTATAGTCTTACAGAATGTAAAATTATTTGTAGTCAAACTTCGACCACAATAGTATAAATACTTATACAATAACCTCATGATCCGTTATTAGGAATTTATTACTAAGACTATTATACTACAAATATATTGTACAAAAACATACTATTTTGTAGTATGTATCTAAGTAAACGAAACTTGTGAAAGGAAATTAATTTATATGTAATATTATTCCAATTTTAACAATATAAAAGTACCAGGAATACAGGATATAGTAGAACTATATATGAGGCTAGATAAATGTATACAGTAAAACACTGGACAAGCATCACCCCGGAGATCATGATGCGCAGTGCGCGTTGCACTGGCAGTGTTAGTTCCTCCGGCATTCTCATCTGCCATACCTTTAAAAAAATGTATAAATATAATGTTTAGCAGACCGCTTCATTTTCGATTGTCACATATTCGATGCCTCGCATAGTACAAGCATTTGTATTCATTCACGTGTTTGTATTAGTCTGGGATTTATAAATAAGATGTACCTAAGTATTTACCAAAAAATATATATATCTTAATTGTCTAGTAGCCATAACACAAGCTCTGCTTATCTTAGGACTAGAGGGCGCTATGTGAAATGGCCATGGATATTATTATTAAAGAATAGCTGTATTATATTTTAGGCAAAGATAAGGCAAAAATATATATATTTTCTATGTTAACGTAATGTTAAGTGGTAAATGATGATGACTATAATTCAGAAAATATTATCATAATGTCTATCATAGTCTGCATATTATGTTTCATTTCCTTTAATGACGTTAAATAAATAGTCACCTGTTTCAGGTTAGCGTTCACTTTAAATAGTGTTGCATCGAATATTGTTCGCACCAGCCCCAACAGAGTCCATAAGCATACTTCTGACTGTAAACCCATTCCCACATATGATAGTATATTTATCATTCTGTATCACTTAACTTATGTTTTTTAAGGAAGTACATAGTTTGATATATTAGTCATTGTTAAATATTATCTTATATATAACGATATTATGTAACGATTACAGAATTGAAATATTTTGTTATGGTTTTGCCATTTTTATTGTTTAATGTCATATTTGACAATATTGAATGAAATAACATATCAAAATATATATTCTCTGAGATATTTTTTAATTATTTTAATTCCATGATCCTTGGGCCAAGAAATGTTATTTCTTAACTTTCTTATTTCAAAATTTGTTGAGAATGATGACAATTAGAAAAATCTAAATAATTATATAAAATAATTCTTACTATTGCGTGTGTAGTCTTTTATTAAACACTAATTGATTTGTCATGAAACTTGGAACAAATTAAATGAATACGTTTAGTATACAATTATATTAAAACCATATTCATTTGTAATAAATATATAGGTACACACCATTCTCTAAACTTCAATAATATAAACATATTAATTTTATTTTAATTATTATTTCTAATTGAATGTATTTTATTTATCATTTAATATACATTCATTTACAGTTAGTATGTATTTAATTCATTAATAAGATTTTTTTAGTTGTAATAAAACTGGTGTGGTCATCAATAATGTGCGTCAGTGGCTTTTAACATAACAGATGCAGAGTACACTACACTACACTACTAAGCCGCTTAGCTCAGACTGGCGAACGATCTTTGAGAGACGGACGGCTCTACTCTGCCGCATAGCAAGTGCGGTTTTATATTTTACGCGCGACGCGATAGTTTTACTTTGTGACCAATTAATATTATTTCTAGTATATTTGTTTAATTATTTGTGCCTTTTAGTGCCTTGTAAAGTTTTGTGTATAAGCAACAGTTTGTTTCCTTTGCCGCTAAGGTAAAAACTTTTTACTAATTATTAAATTCGTTTTAATTATCGCTTTTTTATCTGTGTAATTGATTGGGACTGAAACTATATTCATAGCGTTGGCCATGATGTTGTTTCAGAAAATATATTTGGGTTGCGTCCTTGCCTTGAACGCGATGACTCGCGGTTTATTTTTAATATTTCTGTAAAGAATCAGTATCACACCTTGTTTATCGTAATACCTACCGAATGTGAACTGTAGCACCTTTAACCTGCTCACACTCAACTCAAAAATAGAAAGTATGTATTATACATAATCTATGACAGCACAACTATTTTCTTTTTCTACACGTAGTAAGCGATGATATATGGGTTAACACCTGTATGACTAGTAGGTATCTACTATTATTATCACGATATGGACATGTATCTATCGTTGTACCTACTGCATATTATTACTTATATAAATACACATTATTTTTCTAAAAGTTTCTCTAAACATTTAAATTTTTATTTAAAAACCGTTAACTTTTCTTTCTTTGCGTGTATAATTATCACAAGACAAACTACAACACAGACAGAAAATTAATTAACAGTGTGCTATATGCAAAAAACAATGTTGTTGCATATATGTTCAGGGGATTTAAAATAATCATTCAATTTCTGTGATAATGCTAATGGGGACTTGTGTCAAATTTGTGGTAAAGAATATTGAAAATCTACAATTGCAAAAACTGTACTACGTGTGATACTAACCTTACTTATCAATCAAAAATTACAACTACGTATATAATCTTAATATAATTCAAGGGCAACTTAGAACTAAGAAATGATGTCATACTCGATACGATAAGCAACTCAGAATTTACTACTGTGATATTATACAAAACGTAGCACAGATTCTATTTCTGCTAGAGGTCATGTTTATATATACGGCATAGACTATATATTTTACTTTTGGAGTAATATATATGGTCTCTGTCTACGGAAGCATGTTTACACAAGATGAATTTTTGCTTAGTATTGACAACCAAATGTAAAATAGATTTATTTTTAAATTTATAGCTTTGTTTAGCCAATAAATTGATTGTAAATTAGATTGACAGAATAATTCTAATTATTATAATGAGAATATCAGAAAAAAATGCCTATGATTACACGAAATCTATAATAAAAAGGTTATAAGTAAAATAATAGCTATGGAATAATAATGTATGAAATATTTATTTATAAAATTCTGATAACCATTTATGGATTTCGTAGGTTCTCCACTATATAAAATATAAATATACCAATAAAGCACAATAAACATACACAGCAATCGAACATAGAAGTTCCTCCTTTTTTGAAGTCGATTAACGATTATGTACCGTCATGACTACCTACTAATAAGAATCATATTGGGAAGTAACTTATAAGCGACGTGGGTAGTGTGGCATTTGGTGTAGTTTATTATCCCACGCTTTGTGTAGATACTACCTATACAAGCTTATTTTTCTTTATAACCCACCAACAGACCTGCCACCGCGTTTTATTTCGTTTATGGAATGAAAGTAACCATAAATGAAAATTATGTAACGCTATTACTACAACAATTCATAATTTAAATAAAATAAAATTCCAATTCAGATTCATTTTTATAGAAAATCCCAACGCATAAGAATTTAATTTAATTCGATAATAATGAGAATTGAAAATTGTTAATACAGCATATTTACCTGCCTAATCTAAAAAAGAACATCATTTTGTTATTTTTAAAGTTTCTAATTTAGTGAAAATATTGAATATAATCTGGTTACTTAATATTAATTATTTGTATAATTTTGAGGAAGTATATTGTTTAAAGAAATTGAAAATAACTCTGAAAAATAGCTTCATCTGTACGCAAAGCAAGTAAAGGATATAATTAATATACAAAAAAGTATTTAAATGTCTCGTTACTGTAATTATTTTTTTTTAGGTAATTTACACTTATACATATTTTTAAAACCTAATCTCGATAGATATTGACACATTTAAGCTTCGAGTTGATAAACCATATACTTGACTGTAGAATCTGCAGACATGAATATTTTTTCTTTCAATAATTCTACTAAACTTCAAGAAATATACTATTTTAGTAGATATGTAACGTAGTTGCTAATTAGCAACTACGTTACATATCTACTAAAATATAGAATTCTACGTGAATTTTAAAGATTCTTTTATTTATTGATAAAGTTTATGTTAGTCATAGACAATTTCCTACTTTTATAAATATTTTAGAAGCATTAAACGGACGGAAAGTAATATATGCTGAACTTAACAACCTACATAAAAATACCGTGTCATGTTATTATTATCTTGACCTAATTGAAGATTCCCTATTTTTGCTGAAAATAAACATTGTGGGACTACCCAACGCTGGGAATTTGCTTTCATAAAAACGAGATGTCAATATTCGGTACAGATTATTTTAACATAGCACAACGGAAACACGTGTAACAACATTAACCAACCGGAATGCCTATGCTATGTTGTGTTCTAATGTAATTTCTAAGATCACAGAGTATTCTGGAATGTATAATAAAATACCTGCATTTGTATAAACGATAAAGTAAACATTGTAAATTACAGACGTGAACTAACGTAAATTTAATTTTGGAAGTAAACCGCTGGACCACAGAGACCCTGTGGTCCAGCGGTTTACTTCCGATGGTGGCAGGCTCGATTTCTTGGACGATACATACATAATTTGTATTCATGGGTATGATTGTTTGTGTTGGTCTGGCTCTTTTGTTTGTGTACAATGTATATATATAAGTGTTTCCATCAGTTAACTAGTATCGATAATACAAGCTCTACATAGCTTGTGATTATATGGCCCAATGTCAATTCCCCTGGGTTATAATATAAAAAAATAATTAAAATAGGAAATTAAAATAGAAATAAAAAAAAATAGGAAGGACATCTTAATAAACATATTATAGAAATTTGTATTTAAAATGTAAATTTAATACAAAAAAAATGACAGTATTTTACATATATCTTTACTACGATTCGCGGAATATGCAGAGACTAAAGTAACAGCATAGCAATACACAGCAGTCCGCTAGTACTAGTAGCATACCACAGTTTCTACGTTGATGTGTCGTACAAACGTGAGAACATGTCTCCCGACTCTCTCCGTACATGGTACACCATACGGTGCAAACATACCATCAAGTAGTTGCCCGCTCGTTTATCCCCGATTTCCCGTACTTTCTAGTTCCATATGCAGACGTAATACAACGGCTTTTATGCAATGTTTGTCCTACAGCCATTGCATGTAGCTACTTATAATACAAATATTATGTACTTATTGTCCTCTATTACTAATGTATATTTAGATTTCATGTGATATTAAAAATTAAATTCTACAATTATTCACTTATCTTTTCTAATCATTCACATCCACCAGTAACGTTTTTCAAGAAACTGGCTTTTTAATATATCGTTGTAGTTTCTCCGACAAATAAATCCTCCTCCTCCTATAAATAAGATTGATGTGAAAATGTATTTATATTTAAAACATTTTTTTCATATTAAGAATACCAGACATGTCATCTTCAATCTCATATAAAGTGAAAACTACTTTTTGCGTAGTGATCTTTAAAAAATGATCAAATTTTTATGAAATTTTATTTACCTATTGAAATATATATGTAGTATCAAAATCAAACGACTTTTTATATTTAGAAAATAAAGGTACCTAATCATTTTACACTAGTGTATATGTGAAGCCGGTGAGCCTTTAGTAGATATCAAATAAAATATGATTGTCAATATCAAATCTTTCAACAAAATCCATAAATTTAATAGAAGTACCTGAGTAATTATTAACCGCAGTGACTAATTGTAAACTGGATTCATTTAAAGAGATCATTGTATCTTTAGAAATGTACTTATGTATACAAATCATTTTCGAGTTGTTAATTTCATACTGTAGTTTCCTTTGGTTCTTATTTTCATTATCATGTTCATTAAACTGGTTAGAGTTCACTTCACGGTTCAGAGAAACTGTATTGTTGCAGTGTAAATTACATTAGAAAGATTTTTCTCTAATCTCTATGCATACATATCTAATCCATATACGAAATAGTATCTTTGTATTCTGTACTAAGTATAAGTATACTCATTTAAAATATATGATTATGTTTTTATTCGTGTAGATCTTCGACAAAAATGACATATGGCGGGGTGATAATAGACTACTCTGCTTTTTTGTATTACAAATAATAATACATTTTATTTTTATTAACTATAATACTCGTTTATACAACATTACAATAATGAAATATATATACCTACTGAACATTTCCATAGATACATTATAATGATAATCTATTAGTTACTGTTGCATGCTGCATACATGTATTGATGTTTCTCAATTCTGTGTTAGGCATAATCATTAATATCTACGTCATTTATTGTTAACAAATGAAGAATATTATTTGTGTTGCGTTTGTTATTGTTTTATATATATGATATATGAACAAAGAAACGTAAAATTTGGTATTTCGTTAAACTCTAACTTGGTCGAAAACGGGATAAATTGTTAATTTTGTAATACAAGCCTGTGACTCACTGCTTATATTGAGAAACCGCTTAATGACGTGTTCGTCATGTATATACTGATGATGACGAACACCAGATTTTGATTAAGTAATTTGGTATTCAAGATGGTAGACGAAATATGCCAGACAATAATGAATGTTTAAATAAAAGTAACTAGATATTCTGGTGCATATACCTATGCATGTCCGGATCTTTGGCTAAACCTGTAGTATAAACGTTTGATGGATTTTATTAAAGTTAATAGTTAGGATTATATGTGATAGTGTTTAGGATTATCTGTTATTCTGTTAATATTAGCATGTAGTATTGTACAGTTTTTACTCTATATTTTCTTACGTTCTTTAAAACTCTCTTAATGAGTATCACTTATTAGTGACCTAACTCAGGTTTTTATTATACTGGTGCAATTATTGTAAGATAGGTATTATATATAA